AAAAAACAACTGTGAAATATGATTACAATTTAAAATAACTGTTTTCTATTTTAATATATTTTAAAATGTAATTTAATTGTGTTATGGCAAAGCTGAATTTTCAGCATCATTATTTCAGTCTTCAGTGTCATATGCTCAAAAATGTATTATTATTATTTCTTGTTATCTTTTATAACAACATAATTGTCTTTATTGTCACTTTGGATCAATTTAATGTGTCCTTGCTGAATAAAATTAATAATTTCTTCAAAAGACAGACAAAAAAACAACAACAACATTGATGATTGGTTGTTTGGCTATTGAACAGTAGTGTGCAGATACAATTTTATGCATTACATATACATACATCTAATTGGTCTATTTGTGCTAATAATAGAATAATTGAAATAATAATTGAATAATAATTTAAAGCTATTATATGTGGTGCCCATCTGTAAAAAAATATATATATATTCGTAATCATTTCTATATTATCAGTTCATCTTATTTATCAGTTTTATTAAATTATGTAATTATTATTGAATATTACAAATCCTTAATTATTATAAATGTTATTAAATTATTCGTATCCGTTTATCTTCAGATGGATACTCCATGAGTGTTTAATTGATTTAGTCATATTCACAATTAAACCGCAATTGTTTTACGCACACATTAAACAGGTTTAAGGCCACTGTCCCTTCAGCAGCCAGGACAACTTCTACATACTGGACACAGCAGAAACATCCAAACAGAGAAGTACTGAAGTTGTACCTGCTGCGTCAGGCTGATAGGACTCAAAGGAGGTGAAGGAGCTGCTCTGGGCGCTGGGCTTTCCACGCGAGCAGAGCGAAGCACTGGATCCTGCCCACTCACTGTCCCCTGAGGACACGAGGGACACGGGCTCCGCTTCAGCGTCCCCGTCCTGCTCCGAGATGGTGCTCAACCTCCTCACCCCACTAACCACAGCTTCACTCATTCTGCATGCAAAACGCAATCATAGATGGAAATGAGAACTAATATTACAGCAAAAGGAGATGCTAAAGCGAGACATGGAGGAACAAAATCATACCATACCTTGGAGTGACTCCAGCAGCCCTGCCTCTTGATATGAGCCTGTTATTCCCAAAAACAAATGAGCTAAATACTTCAGTCGGATCTGAGCTTAACACGTGCCAGAGTCAACCAATAGTTTGGCCGTTATGCCCAGAACTATCCCAAAACAAGATGTAATTGCTACGCAGATGAATCTGCAATAATACGCCTGACTTGAGCGTGAGAAAGAAGATATGAGTGGAATATCTTTATAATAACCTGTGCTGAATAAATTATTAAACACCATCCACGTGCAAAGAGTCTCTGAAGAGTTTCCAGCGTGGCTGCAGTTTTGTGAAATGGATTTCATGAGGGTTTCTGCTGCTGCAGCATTTCAGGGATGGTTCTTTGGTTTTAATGCGGCTAAATTATATTAAAGTTGACAAAAAAAAAAAAAAAGAGCCAGTTTGCAAAGCTTTGTCCTGCCGAA